TGCATACAAGAACTGGGGTACAGGCCAGAGGTATGGGGGGGATGAGAGGACTCATCAGAGACAGAGTGGGGAACAGAACAGGTGGATTTGACTGAAATACACTGCTGAGGGGAGCAGCAGGCAAGACAAGAGAGGACTGCTGCACCATGTGGATAGCCCCCTGGCTGAGGATTGAACTAGTGCTGCAGTGGGTGCAGCTACCTTCATGGGTGGCGTCTCAACCCCTTGCGCCACCAGGGACACCCCACCCCTCATATTTAATTTAATGTTAAGATTTAATTGATCTAATTCTATTTGATTATGTAGCAGGAAGCATGATAATGAACATCAAATGACCATCAGCACCTTTCTCCCAAGCAGGCTAAGTTCAGAAACATTGATTCCAAAACAGACCTATTTACCTGCAATAGATTAAAATAGAGAACTAGGTAACCTTTAAACTGACTTTTTTTCACCCACTTGCGTCTGCAGCGCGGCTTTGATTCCAGCCGCTGCTCTCCTCAGCAGTGTTTTCGGTCCCTCTGCCTGCTCTGCTCCCAGCTCCGTCTCTGGTGAATTCTCTCACCCTCCCGCACCTCTGGCTTGTACCCCAGTTGTTGTATAAATAAAATCTTAAAAAAAAAAAAAAAGATGCCCAGTATTTTATTGCACATTTCAACTAAACAGGAAATTCTAACAATACAAGGAAATAACCACAACCCAACTCTTAAAATCAGGAAATGAAGACTAATGTTAACATAGATGTTAATGCTGATTAATTTAATCTGGTTTTTACACATCACTCAGTTTTTTTCCAATTGTCTCAATAATGTCTTTTGTAGTAAAAAAGACCATTTGGATTCACATGTTGTGTCAGTCGCCTCCAGTCTGGAACATTTCCCAATATTTTCTGTGATATTTATGACCTTGAACTTTCTAAGACTGCAAGCCAGTTATTTTGTGCAATGCCCCTCATTTAGATGTGTTTGGTGTTTTAAGATTACTAAAGCTAGGCATCTTGGCAGGAATACCACAGAAGTCACACTATATTCTCACTGCTTCCTGTCAGGTGGCACATTATTCTGACGTCCCTTGTTGATAATGTTCACTTTGATGACTTGAAAATACCACTGCAACAAAGAGCACTGGCCAGGCTTCTCCACTGTAATGTTAGCTCCTCCCCACTTTGTCATTAATTGGTATTTTGTGCCAAAGTAACCTGAAATATTGTAATTACACTATTTCTTACCTTACTTTCCATTTATTCACGTGCTTATGTCTGTATGGATTCATGGTCTTCTGCCTCACTCAGTGGATTAAAATCTGTTACTGCACTATTTATTTTGATGTTCAAATTGTCCTATAATTGGTAGGTGCGAGTCTATTCAAGTTGGCTGTTAAGAACTTTCCGTATGTCCCCGTCCCTCTTTGTGCCCTTCTTTGCTTTCTGGCACAAAAGTTGTTCCAAGCCGCTCTTCCCTCCCCATCCCTGGAATCAGTCACCCTTCCAAGATGTCTTGGTTCTTTATAAAGAAAAACTGCATTAGAAGCCAAGATCTGGGTGCAATTCATAGCTTTTTCGTTGCTAACAAGATACCGCTCCTCCCTAGCCAATATATTACATGTCTTTATCTAAATGTATTTAAAACCCGGAGCTCACACAGATATCCCAGTTGTAATACCTCACACCACGAATTACTCTTTCTCTTTTTGTAATCCAGGTTTCATATTTATATATTCACTATTTTGCTCAATTCCTCTATGTATTCAATCTTCTGTCTTAAGGCTGTTGTCCCCTCCATGTCCAGTACAAATGCCCTTCCCTCCTCTCTCAGTTCTCACTCTTGACCAAGACGGACTTGATGATCTCCTCAGGTTCACTAACCTTTGGGTAGCGCCCTTTTAAACTGGAAGCCCCTGGGCCTCCCCGGTGGCGGTGGCGCAGCGGTTGAGCGCTGGGTTGCGAAGCTGCCCGCAGCCTCTGCGGCGCCGGTTCGATCCCCAGCTGCTCCCAGGCCACTGGAGGAGGGTCCCACATGGTGCGCAGATCTCTCCTGCCGCCCGCTGCTCCCCTCAGCAGTGTACTTCGGTCCTTCTGCCTGTTCTGCTCCCCGTTCTGGCTCTGGTGAATTCTCTCAATTCTCTCACCCTCTCGCGCTTCTGACTGTACCCAGTGCTTGTATAAACAAACAAACAAACAAACAAACAAACAAATCTTTAAAAAAGAAAAAAAAAAAAGATGCTAAACTAGAAGCCCCTGACTCTAAGTGTCTAATCTCCCAGAGGAACACTTTATTATTCTGTGTGCTTATCCCAAATCAGGTCACCTTGCCATTTACACACCTTGCTTACTCGACCTTCGGATGCCTCCTTGTTTATACACCCCCTCTCCTGCTCAAGCTCTGATTCCCCACACAGGGACACCCCTGTAGTGAATACTCTTTAGAGTGTCCACGTTGTTACTTTCTACCCAAGGTCACCCTTTGATGTTTGGCCCTACCCTTTAAAGATGTATGATTGCAGTAATGGACTTGGGCATATGCATGTTTGAAATCCTCCCAGATGGTACATCTGGATCGAAAACCCATTGCTGGGCCCTCCCCAGTGGCACAGTGGGTTGAGCGCAGTGCTGTGACGCTGTCCGCAGTCTCTGCACAGGTTCGATTCCCGGCCGGCCAGGGAGATTCTCACATGGCGTGGCAGACCTCTCCTGTCGCGCCCACTGCTCCGTCTGCCTGTTCTGTTCCCTGCTCTGACTCTGGTGAATTTTCTCACCCTCCAGCTCCTCTGGTCTGTACCCCAGCTCTTGTATAAATAAATAAATCTTTTTTAAAAAAGAAAATCCATTGCTTTATGATGGAAAAATAGGACTGCAGTTTAGTTTGAGTATCTGGGATGGAGATTGTGAGAAACTCTGATGGCTCCAATTTTGTCTATTAGGTAGGAAGACATGTCATTATGTGAGAATGATGAGGGTCAAAATTACTAGGGAATGGAAAGAAACAATCATCATTGAGAGAGAGAAAAAAGAATTATAGCTTGCTGGGTAGTGTACATCGCCAATTTGAAATTACGTATTTTTGGTTCTGTAGAATTTCTCAAATATTAAATTTACATTTTTAAGGTATATATGGGGGGAAAGACATACACAGTGGAAAATAGAGATTGTTGTTGGATAATTTGGTTCCCCCCCTTCCTTGTATATTCTGTATTTAAGTTTGAAAATTTTCTTAATATATTCATAATGGAAAAATGTTTTAATTTTTCAAAAGATAGGGAAATAGGGCCTCCCTGGTTGTGCAAAAGTTAAGTCTCACCATTATCAAGCTATCACCAGCCACTACAGCGTGAGTTCAATCCCTGGTCAGGGAGATACCCACATGGTGCAGCAGACCTCTCCTGTCTTGCCACTGCTCCCCTCAGCAGTGTATTTCAGTCAGTTGGCCTGTTTTATTCCCCACTCTGTCTCTGGTGAATCCTCTCACCCCCGCACCTCAGGCTTACACCCTTAGTTCTTGTATGCATAAATAAATAAAAATAAATCTTTGAAAAAAAAATAAAGAAGTAGAGACCTACCACATGGAAGTTTTCTAGGGCTTCCATAGCAAAATACCACAGAATGGGTGATTTAAAACAAATACAGAAATGTATTTGTTTGTAGTAATAGAGGCTAAAAGTCAAATAAGCCCAATGTTGGTGGGGTTGGTTTCTCTGATGTCTCTCTCCTTGGCTATGGATGGCTGTCTTCTTCCTGTATTTCATGTGGTCTTCTTTCTGTGTGCTTCTTCTGTGTTTCATTCTCTTTTACGGAGATACCAGTCTTGTTGGATTAGGGTGCACCTAGTGTCTCTGTAGGGGAAATTTTAGGGGAATGTCCCCTTAGTTCCTTTGATTCCTTTGGCTGGTCCCAAAATAAACTGACACAAGAAAAATCAGCAGGAGAAAAGATAAATTTAATTTCACATGCACAAAGGGCCATAAGATACAGACCTTAGTGAATTGTCAAAATAGGTTTGTATACATTTTAGACACCAAAGCAACATATCTGTGAAGAAAAGACGGGACAAAAAACTCCTAAAAGGTTTGATGTGGGCAACTAATTTAGTAAGCTTGGCAGGGCTTATATGCATAGCGTCTTGTTTATCTCTGACAAGAAAGGGTCTCTCCATCTCTACTCAGGGAGGGTACCTCTGACATAGAGGTTTATTTCCTGCTTTCAGGAGGAGTAGAAAGGAGGAGGAAATGCCTGGTGTTTTGTTTTTTTTTTTAAGAGGTGGGGCACAGGCCGGAGTGGGGGGGGGGGTGAGGTTGTGTGTGCGAGAAGATTCACTAGAGAGAGCTCAGAGCAGAACAAGCAGATGTACTGAAACACACTGCTGAGGGGAGCAGCAGGCGAAACAGGAGAGGTCTGCTTGGCCATGTGGGTTGCTTCCGGCATGCCGAGGATCAAACTCTCTCCTCAAAGGCAGCAGACAGCTTTCACAGCACTGCGCTCAACCTCCTGCACTACCAGGGAGGCCCGGAAATTCCTGGTTTTTGATGAAAGGAAGGCTTAGGGTGTTATTCATTCCTAGGCTATTTCATTAATTATAAATTATCAATATGCTAACTTGACACATCTTGGGCAGCCTGATCTGGGCCCAGATAACTCACTTCAACTTATTTATTTCTTCTAAGATCACCTCTCTAATACACTCTCACATTCTGAGGTACTGAAACTTAGGGTTTCAACATATGTTTTAATGTAATTCTAGTGTTTCTATTTTATTTTTTCTGTAAGGTTTCTTCTTCTTCCTCCTCATCCCTGCCAATTTCTTAACTTTTATGACTTTAAAGTCAGTCTTGAGGACAGTTTCTGAGCAATGGTTCAACTTTATAATTTTCTGTGATGTTAATACTTTACAAACTTCCAAAACCAAATAAATAGCTTTCAAACGAAACTGAAACTCCTTGCAATTCTACTTCCTCATTCTTCTGCTATATAGCTCTCATACACCCTCAGGAAGTTCCAGAGACCAGAAAACATCGCAACATAATGCGTTAGCTTTTATAAAGGGATCGGGCAATCATTTGTCTCCTAACCATCAGAAGAAGAAAAAAAAAAAACATTAAATCAACTCTTTCAAGTTTCTGACATAAAAGAGGATGTTTTCAGGAAAATTCTCGTAAGTTTCTGAATCATTATATTTCATTTTTATGCTTAATGCTTAAGAGGGATAGTGATTTTTATAAACTCCACTTACACTTTTTATATAAACATATGTGTTTATATATGAACAATTACTTATAAAATACTGAAAGTAATTAGAAATATCAATGGGTTAAATATATATAAATATATTTAATTGAGAGTAACTTTATAATTGCTTTTATAGAAAGAAATGTAACATCAAGTGTACTTAGGGCAGTGAGTGTGTTTCTGGCTTTGTAGGGCAGTGGAAAAGATGATAGAGAAACATCACAAACTGGTTCAGAAATATCTGCATAAAAGATTGTAAAGGAATCGTGCTCATGTTACTTACACAAAATTTTATTTTCTGCGCCATGTGGATAGCTCCCTGGCCAGGGATCTAAATGTTTCACAGTGCTATGTTTAACCCCTTGCTCCAATGGTGGATCCCCTCACCCCCTGCACCTCTGGCCTGTACTCCAGCTCTTATATGCATGATTAAATAAATCTATTAAAAATACATAAAAAATGCAAAATTTTGTTTCCAAAATCTGATTTTTTGCTTCTATTAGAATCAGAGACTAATGTAGTACCAGTTCTTGACACATGTAGATGAAAAAATTAAAACTCTTAGGTCAGAAAAACAAGAAATGGAGGAAGAAATAGTTTTTTAAAAAGACACATTTAATCAAATATAATACCCTCTAGAATCTAAATATGTTTCTATGTAAGTTTTTCTTTCACATATATCTCATATACAATCTAGTTGAAAACGTCAAAGAAATGAAACTTAACTTATTTCCCTGAGTTTTCAGTCAATAAGACCATCAGAGAAGTATGTATGTAGCTCTCCTGGGCTAGATTCAAGATTCTATTTTTTTAATGATTTTTTTATTTATGCATATAAGAACTGGGGTATAGGCCAGAGGTGTGGGGCGTGAGAGGATTCACCAAAGATAGAGTGGGAAACAGAACAGGCAGACTGACTGAAATACATTGCTGAGGGGAGCAGTGGCTGAGACAGGAGAGGTACCCACCACGTGGGTAGCAACCTGACCGGCCAGGATCAAACTCATACTGCAGAGGCTGCAGATAACTTCACAGTGCTGTGCTTAACCCCTTGAGCCACCAGGGAGGCCCTAGATTCAGGATTCTGAAGTGTCTTTTCCTCCATTCAGTTCTGGAAAAACCAGGGCCCTGCAGTTTGGACTAAGAGTTCCACAGACAAGAACAACTCCTCAAGGCAAGGATAGCTGAGGTGCTACTGCGGTTCTCCTTCTTGTTCACTACCCAAAGAGAGACAACTGGAGTAGTCACTCAAAAATGGCATCCTGTAGCTCATATTCCAATAATTAATATTATAGGTCATAAAATTTGTTTGCAAAATTGTTTCAAAATAGGAAGTTGATGGCCCTTAGGAAGTCAAGAATTATGTCATCATTCTCAAAATTTGTGCATATCAGTTATGGTAACTTGACCCCTACTTAGCTCTAGCAATACATATGCAGGTGCTCTTAAATTAGTTAAGTATAAACCATTTTAAAAGCATTACTGAATATTATACAAATGTGAACACAAAAAGCATTGTATGTTCACAACTGCTATCATGTAGAGAGAGGGGCATTGAGAAACGTTTGATATGATGTAAATGGTCCAAAGATATTCCTGAAGAATTTCGGATATCTTACAGAGACAACATATTGTCAATTTTTCCATTTATCAGAAGAAAAATTTCCAGATATAGGGAATAAATGTTTTTGGGAAAAGTATTTCTATTTCCTGGAGTCTCTTGGCAGAATCTGAACAAAAGAAACTGGGAGAAAGTACAAAGGTAAAAAGTTCCTCTCGCAGCATTCCCTACACTAGACACAGCACACAGTGATTCACTAGGTGTGTAGAGACCAAATAGCTCTAAGAAGGAATGGATGGCAGAGAGAAATTCCTGATATGTGACTTCACTTTTAGAATGTTAACCCTTCTAGAATTACTATATTCACTAAAACAAAAGAGAAAATCTGAAGTCTGTCCTCTAGATCTTCAGGATACCCAGAGATAGAGAGTGGGTGGTTAAATTACTGAAAGAGGACCCTGGCTGGAAGAAGGTATTACATCAAACCTGAGCTGGGTGTGTCTGTGGAAAGGGGTGAGCCCCCCACCAGGACATCAGCTTCTCAGAGAGAGACAACAGATGAAAACAGCAGAAGTACTGAAATTCTAACACTGAGGGACCCAGCATAGAAAGAGACCTCTTCCTGGAAACACCCAGAATAAGGGTTATACTAATTTTGGAACTGTGTGTTATGCATATTATGAAACTGGATTACCCAAAAGGATTGCAAGAGAAACATATTTACTAATTTACTGTTCCTTTTTACAAATTCTCTTTTTCATTCTTTGTAACTAGCTCCTTGAAATTAGAGTGAGTTCTGGCCTAACAGCATGAAAAAGAGATTGCCCAAGATTTCAGTGTGGCATGCAAGTCAAATGAAGTAATTGCTTCAGTGAAAAGAGAAAGCTCTCTGACCCACAGACACTGCTAACTCAAGGACTGTTTTCAACTACTCTAAGAAAATATGTTATTCATTCAACAAATTTTTATTAAGAAGCTAATAAGTGCTAGGTACGTAAATAGTAAACAAAACATAAAAATCTTTGCCCTCATGAAGCATACAGAATAATGGGTGAGACAGAAAATAAACAAGAGAAGTACATGAAAATATATGTGTTAAGTTCTAAGTAGATTTAAAGAGAAAATGAGCAGAAAGAAAGGCAGGAAAAGTTGGCAGAAGGGATAAAGTTTTCAGTAGGCTAGCCAAGCAAAGAGAGAAGGTGACATTTGATAAAAGGCCAGAGAGAAGAGTTGGAGTGAGTCCTACAGACTTCCCCAGGATAGAAAACAAGTGTAGCATCAGAAGCAGAAGCAGGTACCACCAGCAAGGAGCAGGAGGTAGTCAGGGAGCTGTTCGAGATTTTTTTTTTTTTTTAACTTATTTTTTAAGATTTATTTATGCATTAAAGAACTGGGGTACAGGCCAGAGGTGTGGGGGGTGAGAGGATTCACCAGAGACACAGTGGGGAACAGAACAGGCAGAATGACGTAAATACACTGCTGAGGGGAGCATTGGGTGAGTCAAGAGAGATCTGCTGTGCCATGTGGGTAGCTCCCTGGCAGCCTGGGGATTGAACTCATGCTGCAATGGATGCAGATAGCTTCATATGTTGCGTTTTAACTCTTTGCGCCACTAGGGAGGCCTGCTGTTTGAGATATAGAGAGAGAAATAAAAGTAAGACATTTTATCACAGATGTAACAAGATGCCAGTCATGTGAGGCCCTGTAGTTCATGATAAGGAACTAGGCTTGCACTGAATCAAATGGAACAGAATGTTGTTATGTTATTTACGTGTGAACAGGCTCATTCTGGTTGTGATATTGAGAAGTCCCTAAAGGGGTTAATAAGAACAAGAGAGAAGTCCTTGAGCCTCTCTAGTGATACAAGGGGTTAAGACTCAAACTCTGAAGCTATCTGCAGCCACTGAGGCACAAGTTCAATCCCTGGCCAGGGAGCTACCCACATGGCATAGCAGACCTCTCCTGACTCACCTACTGCTCCCCTCAGTAGTGAATTTCAGTCAGTCTGCTTGTTCTGTTCCCCACTCTGTCTCTGGTGAATCCTCTCACGTCCCGCACCTCTGGCCTGTACCGCAGTTTTTGTATGCATAAATAAATAAATCTTTAAAAAACTTTTTTTTAAAAAAGAGAACTCCTTGTGAGGGACTTTGATAGGTGGTTGTGGTGGAGGGGGTGGCTAGTGGTCAGATGCTGAATATGTTTTGTGTCTTGTATAGGATTTGTTCCATATTGAATGCAGAATATGAAGAAGAGAAAGTGTGCCTGCAACATATTTTAGATGTTTATTTTATTAAAAGTATTTAAATGTTAGAAGTGATGTCATCTTGGTAAAAGATATTTAATGCACTTTTCATTTAAATCTTCTATGCTCGGGGCCTCCCCGGTGGCGCAGCGGTTGAGCGCTGGGTTGCGAAGCTGCCCGCAGCCTCGGCAGCGCCGGTTCGATCCCCAGCTGCCTGGCGAGGGTCCCACATGGCGCGTGCCTGCTGCTCCCCTCAGCAGTGTATTTCGGTCCTTCTGCCTGTTCTGCTCTCTGCTCTGGCTCTGGTGAATTCTCTCACCATCCTGCGCTTCTGACTGTACTCAGTGCTTGTATAAATAAATAAATCTTTTAAAATAAATAAATAATCTTCTATGCTTGAAAATGTTCATAGTAGAGAGTTACAGAAGAAATCTATGCCATAAATAGTTCCTAAGTAACAGTATAATTAATTGTTAATTTGCTCTAATGTCTTTTATATATAATAAATTCTCAACAAATATATCCTCAGGCAAAATTAGAAAAGAGCCAGATCTGTTCTGTCTACGTGTCTACTTTCTGGCAGTTGTTTGCTGGGATCTGACTCTTGCAAATTTTCGATAAAAGACAACTCATCTAACAGCTCAAGATCAAAGAACTTCATGAAACTTACTTCAAGTTGCTGATATAAAAACTGGAAATTCTTAGAAAAACGCTGGTAAGTTTTTGAGATATTGAAGTTACCTTAATCAACATTCTTTAAAAACTACCTTTAAAAATTAATTGTAAACTTTAAAAATTAATATGAAATATACGTAAGTTATTTCTAATGAAATTTCTTAAAAGGGAATGAGACATCTCAGTGCTTTTACAAACATAACTAATCTCACTTGTGTTTACTGCAGACTTCTTTTTAAAATCATTTTTTTAAGATTTATTTATTCATGCATACAAGAATTAGAGTAAAGGCCAGAGGTATGAGGAGGGAGAGGATTCACCAGAGACAGAGTGGGGGAACAGAATAGACAGATTGACTAAAATACACTGCTGAGGGGAGCAGCAGGCAAGTCCGGAGAGGTCTGGTGTGCCATGTGGGTAGCTCCCTGACTAGAGATCGAATGTGCTGCAGTGGCTGCAGATAGCTTCATAGGCTGCATCTTAAACCCTTGTGCCACCAGGGAGGCCCTCTTTTTAAAAAGAAACCTTCTAGCAAGTATCATGCAAATGTTAACTAATCATGCCTCTGATTTTATAGGTAAAGTAAGATTTGCTTCATAGCTTCACTTAATTATGTAACTTGGGAAAATTTATTTTATTTGAGTTACCTTACTAAAAAGGGGTTCATTTTCTGCTCATTATTTAGAGCTCAATAACATTCAGGAATCCTTAAAGTGTACCCAGGAAACAAATAGGCTAATTAGGTTTGAATTCCTAAAAGAAGCATTCCATAGGCCCATTACTATTTTAGGTAGGTTCCCTTGCATTGTACTTTTTTTCATTTCTAATTAGGATCCCAAGTCCTTGATTTACATTTTCGAGGATGACATTTTTAAATAAAATTAAGTGAATTCTAAGGTTGCTTTACAAAAAAAGAAATGTATTTTAGCATATACTTCTGGAAAGTGAAACTATATTGCTTTGTAGCTGAGTTCCCCAATACATGAGCGCGGGGCCTAGGCCAGGGCTGTGAGAGCATATTCTGTCTGGGAGATGTGGATGTGTGGGGGCTGCTGAGGCCCAGCCTCCTACACATGGAGGTGGGCAAATTGCTGCCTTGCTCTTTCCTGCACAGTCTCAAAAGGGAGAAAGTGTGATCCTGAAATAAGTACTCACAAGGAGAACTCTGGTGTTCAAAATTTTCCCAGGACAAAATAAGGTGGAAGTCTTCTCTCCAACTGCAACCAGAGAAACGTCTTTACCCATTTCAAAAACAGAGACTAGAACAAAAACAAGCAACACTGGTTCAGTTCAATTCCCCAATACTATGAATGAGAAAACAGGTTGGCTGAGAGGAAACACGGTTTAATCAAACATTATTTTCCTAATCACAACTCCTCCCCCTTTATTTACACTATTATCTTGTTGCCAAACATAAACGTCCTTCATATTTAAAAAATATGTCAACCTTCCAGATGTAAATCCAATCAGAAAAATTGTCACAAAATAACTCGTAAGCCTCAGAACAGTGAAATACATTAAATGTAAATGTAAATGTTAACAAGCCCTCACCCAAAACAGGGTTGACAATACTGATTGGGTCAAGGAGTTATATCAAAGCATTAATAAAACATTTTCCCTTAAATTACATAGCTCCAGCCAAATATAGATCATATAATTGTAAGAATGCAAAATTCTCATGACAGTGTCAACAGATATTATAGTAGCTTCAAATCATTTCATCTCTTCTCAGCTCCCATCATAGGGGAGGGAGGTTGAAATATTTTTTGAGGTAATAGAGTCTTCATCTTTGAACAGTGGGAGAAACTCGAGATAAGGTAGAGATGAAAATGAGATTTGGGGAGGACAAATCTAGTCACCCTACTTGAGCATGATGCTTCCATCTTTTTGTAATTCCTGGTGGAATAGAACAATTATAGAGAAAGTGAGGAGGCAGCCATCTCCTATAAGGTGGCACAAAGAAAAGCCTTCCCATCACCCCCACAGTGTACACACACACACACACACAAGCACACAAGCACATGCAGTGGGTCTGCATGCCTGTGGTACCCAAAGAAACCCTTCAGGTACTACTTCTTGTAGAGTTCTAAAATCTAACGGAATTACTATAACCACTGGCTAAGACAAAATAGAAAATCTAGAGCTTTTCCTTATAATACTTGAAGAGTCAGTTGAAGGGGCTTGAATTAGAGAGAGAGGACTCTCACTAAAAGAAGATGTTGCCCCACAGCTGGACAGAGTAAGTCTGTGAAGAGTGATAAGAGAATCTGCAGAGATGAGTTTGTTTGTCCAGAGCAGTGAGAACAGTTAAAGCAGGGTAATACTGAGGTCTTATGGTCTGGTTCATTGAGACAGACAAATTAAGAAAATCAAGAAAAAATCCCATTTATAATTACATCTTAAAGAATATAATACCTAGGAATAAATTTAACCAAGGAGATGGAAGACCTATACACTGAAAACTCTTAGAAACTACTGAAAGAAATTGAAGGAGATAAAAAGAAGGGAAGACATTCCATGCTCATGGGTTGGAAAAACTAACATTGTTAAAATGATCTTTTTACTTAAAGTAGTATACAGAAAATGCAATTCCTATCAAAATCCCAACAGTTTACTTCACAAAAGTAAAACATAAAATCATAAAATTTATTTAGTACAAAGACACTGAATAATCAAAAGATTCCTGAGGGAGGAAATGAACAAAAATGGAGGCATTACACTGTCTGAATGCAAACTATACTACAAAGTGATAATAATTAGAACAGCTTGGTGTTGGAATAAAAATAGACACATAGATCAATGGAACAGAATTGAGAGCCCAGAAGAAAACCACACCCAATTACTTAGGTTGAGAACCCTCAAAATTTTTCTCAGTTAAGAAGTTTTTCCAATTCAAATAGTGACTCAGATCAGTAAGCCTCTTGATGATTTAACCATAGGCATAAGAGGCATTCCCAGAAAATTATTCCCAGACAGTAATAATAAGGGGATCTGTTTTAAAAAGCTTTTCCCAGTTACAGGGAAACATGTATTTCCTTCCCTTTTGAAAAGCTGTGAAAAGTAGAGTTTGCCCAATATTTTTAGATTCTCTAATTCATGAAAAGAACAGAGACCATCTCTGAGAGGTATAAATTCATGAGTACGCATACCAAATAACCAAAGTCTCTAAACTTAAGGAAGTTCTTCCCACCAATTTTTTATCTTGCAATTTTTAAATTTGTTATTAAATTTATAAAAAAAAACCTCTCACCATTCTTCTTCCAGTAGACTCTGCAGGTTGAGACCTGGGATTCTGACAAAGTAAGAATTTTTACCTTTATGCCAGCTTTTATCAGAAGTCCCACCAAGCTCTCTCAACTACAACAGCTTCAGTGCCAAACATTACCCATTTGGTGAGATATCTTGCCGAATATGCTAGATTATTGGGAAGGAAAAGTCTTCCTCTCTCTTTCTATGTCCTTACTGTTGGAAAATAATTAAACTGACAACAGACAGATTATCAGGAGAAAAAAATACAATTTAATTTAATTGGTATGGAGATGCCATGTGAATATGGGATCTTGAAAAAAATAAACAGTATACTGGTTATATATTTATTTCACCCTGATTGGCAGCTACTTATTATTTCATAAGTCACCTAGGAAACAGGGCATTGATTGGGATTTTAAGATAATTAAAATAAACATCAAGCAGTTTCAAGTGTCAGTCTTAAAGAATATTTTATATATATATGTTCTTTATAAGGAATTATATGTAAAACTGATACTGTGTTTTTAATGATAAAGCATAATACTTCTTATATTGCTTTTTCCAAGGAAGAAAGTTTCAACTTTAATATGAGTGAGCAAGTAAATCTACCCGAAATGACCAAAGACTGGACCAAAGAACATGTGAAACAGTGGGTAACCAAAGACCTTCAGATTGATGAGAAATATGGGCAGATTCTGCTCAATGAAGAAGTGACAGGATTAGTCTTGCAAGAATCAACTGAGAAAGATCTTATGGAAATGGGCCTACCACGTGGTCCAGCACTTCTGATAAGACGCAGATATAATAGACTGAATATTTCCTCTGAATGTAACAATCAGGATTCAGGAAGATTAGGTCATACCAAACTCTCCCAAAAAGAACACACCAAAAAGCCACAACAGAGAGCAAAGAAAGAAGAAAAATCAGTGGCATCCAATAGTGCTTGTGATCCTGGAATGATGATAAGTACTGAAGAAGACAAATTGATTCCCAGGGGAAAAAGTGCAGTAAGTGAAGTAGTGTCTGCTGAAGACAGACCGAAGGAAAAGCTAAAACCTGAGCAGTGTACTTGTATGCCATATCCTTTTGATCAGTTCCATGACAGCATACGTTACATAGAACATTATATTCTACAACCTGAAACCGGACCGCTCAATCTCATAGACCCAATACATGAGTTCAAAGCCCTCACAGAAACAAAAACAGCCTCAGATAAGGATATTAAGATGAAATTTAGCAATGAAGTTTTCCGGTTTGCGTCAGCTTGCATGAATTCACGCACCAATGGCACCATTCATTTTGGAGTCAAGGACAAACCCCATGGGGAAATTGTTGGTATTGAAGCCCCCAGTAAGGATGCTTTCATTGACCACTTCAATTTAATGATCAACAAGTATTTTGAAGAAAGTGAAATCAAAGAAGCCAAGAAGTGCATTCGTCAGCCAAGGTTTGTGGAAGTCCTACTGCAGAACAATACACCATCTGACAGATTTGTCATTGAAGTAGATGTTATTCCAAAACACTCTGTATGTAAAGAGAAGTATTTTTACATTAAGATGCAAACTCTTATAAATGAAACATGGAAACAAAGCCAAGATACTTCACTGTATGTGAGAGAAGGGGCTAGTTCTAAAGACATATTGGCAGATGACAAGAAACGAGATGGCAATTTCAAAAAATTTCATAAAAATTTAAAGTTACTCGTAGCATTAAGAAAAGAAGCTGAAGAAGAATATAAGATGAAAGCAAATAAGAGTGAATGTGAAGGAAAAAAGCTGATTAAACTCCTCATAGGAAACCGAGATTCACTAGATAATTCTTACTACAATTCGTACATTCTTGTAACAAATAAATGCCATCCAAACCAAACAAAAAACTTAGATTTTCTAACGGAAGTTAAATGGTTTGCTGTGTTGGATTTTGATCCTGAATCTGTGAGTAGAGGCATAGCCAAAGCTTATGGAAAAAGCCGAGTAGCAAACCTTCACTTTCCAAATCAGTATGAAGAAAAAACTACCACGAGAGAGAAAATTTTTAGTATGAATCTTTATGACCAGCCCAGTTGGATCTTCTGCAATGGTAGATCAGACTTGAAAGATGAGACATATAAGCCTCTAGAACCACATTTATGGCAGAGAGAAAGAGCATCTGAAGTCAGGAATCTGATTTTATTTCTCACAGATGAAAATATAATCACAAGAAGGAAACTTTTGGTAGTGTTTCTATTACTCTCTTCAGTAGAAAGTCCAGGAGATCCACTCATTGAAACTTTCTGTGCTTTCTACCAAAACCTCAAAGGAATGGAAAATATATTGTGTATCTGTGTAAGCGCACAGATTTATCAACGATGGAAAGATCTACTACAGACAAGATTAACAATGTCAGATGAATTAACAAACCACAGTATTTCCACTTTAAATTTAGAATTAATAAATAGCACAATCCTTAAACTGAAACCAGTGACTCAGTCATCAAGAAGATTTTTGCCCTCCCGTGGATCTTCTTCAGTTATCCTAGAGAAAAAGGAAGAGGATATTTTGACTGCACTGGAAATCCTCTGTGAAAATGAATGTAGGGACACAAACTTAGAGAAGGATGAACCTAAATTCCAAGAATTTAAGAAATTAAAAGAAGAACACTTTTATCGAGGTGGCAAAGTATGCTGGTGGAACTTCTATTTTTCTTCTGAAAACTATTCTTCACCTTTTGTTAAAAGGGATAGATATGAAGACCTTAACTCTCTTATACAGCATTGGGAAAAGTCTCCTCAACCAACATTTGCAAAAATTATCAATCTTTATCATCATCCAGGCTGTGGGGGTACTACACTGGCTATGAACGTTTTATGGGATCTCAAGAAAAAATTCAGGTGTGCTGTGTTAAAAAACAAAGGAATTGACTTTGAGGAAATTGGAGAACAAGTAAGCAAGTTGATTACCTATAAGGCAAGCAGCCATCAGGACTACATTCCTGTACTTCTCCTTGTGGATGATTTTGAAGAACAGGAAAATGTTTACATTCTACAGAATGCCATCCATTCTACTTTAGCAGAGGATTTGAGATATGAAAAGACACTGGTAATTATCTTAAACTGCATGAGATCCCAGAATCCCGATGAAAGTGCAAAATTAGCAGACAGCATAGCACTAACGTACCAACTTTCTCCCAAGGAACAAAGAGCTTTTGGAGCCAAACTAGAGGAAATTGAAAATCAATACCAGAACTTTGAGAACTTTTATTCTTTCATGATCATGAAACGCAATTTTGATGAAACATATATAGAAAATGTAGTGGGGAATATCTTGAAAGGACAGGATTTTGACAGCAAGCAAGCACAACTTGTTTCTTTCCTGGCTCTACTCAACTCTTATGTTACTGATTCCACAATTTCAGTTTCACAGTGTGAAAAATTTTTGGGAATCTCCCAAATTAAGACACCCTGGAAGCCTGAAAGCCTGGAAGAGAAGATGGGGACATATTCTACTCTGCTAATAAGCACAGAAGCTGCAGAATATGGGAGATACACAGCTGTGCGCATCATTCATCCTCTCATTGCTATTTGCTGCCTAAAAGAACTGGAAAAAAGCTACCAGTTGGATAAGAGTACAATTGCACTGAATATGTTACGTGAGAATTTATTCTATGATTGTGGAATAGGAAAAGACAAATTTCAACATGATGTGCAAACTCTTCTGCTTACAAGACAACGCAGGGAGTGCGGAAATGAAACAGACACTTTGTTTTCCCCTTTAATTGAAGCTTTAGATAATGAAGAAGTTGAAAAAGTCTTGACTGAGGGAAGTAAACGATTCCCACAAAATGAATTTATTTGTCAAGCCTTAGCAAGACATTTCTACATTAAAGAAAAGAACTTTAACGTTGCTCTGGATTGGGCAAAAAAGTCCATAGGGAGAGCACCTAAAAATTCCTATATCACAGATACACTTGGTCAAGTCTACAAAAGTGAAATCAAATGGTGGTTGGATAAAAACAAAAACTGTACGCATATTACCACTACTGATCTAACACACCTCCTAGAAGTTGCTGAAAAGGCCTCAAAAGCTTTCAAAACATCCCAAGAGCAAACGGATAAGAAAGTCTCTGAAACAGAGACCTGGTCATCACAGAAGTCCCAGAGAAAATATGACACATATAATACAGCTGGGTTCTTGGGTGAAATAGAAGTTGGTCTTTACACTATTCAGATTCTTCAGCTTACTCCCTATTTCAACAAAGAAAACGAATTATCTAATAAAATGTTGTCAGAATTTTTATCAGGAAAGTCAAATATTTCTTCAAATGGAAAATGTGAATATTACTTGACTTTCAGCAAGTTCACAACCTACTTACAAAATTTACAATCAGATTTGAAAAGGTGTTTTGACTTTTTTACTGACTATATGGTTTTTTTGAAAACGAGGAATGCCCAAAAGGAGACAGCAGAAATATTATTAAGCAAGAAAATCAGCCGTTGTTTCAAGAAATACCGAGAACTTTTCTGCCATTTGAATGTGGGTCCATTACTAAGCAGAGAGAGTCAGTTACTCGAAGAGGAGAATTGTAGGAGAAGGCTAGAGGCTTTGAAAGCAGATAGGTTTTCTGGACTCCTGGAGTATCTTAATCCAAATCACAAAGATGCTGCAGCCACCATGGAAAATATAGTGAATGAATACAGCTTCTTCTTGCAACAAAACCCAAAGAAACAGCTCACAAGAGAGAAGCAAAATTTCATTTTGGCCAATATTATTCTCAATTGTCTAAAACCCAACTCCAAGTCCATTCAACCATTAAGCACATTAAAGAAACAGCTCCGAGAAGTGTTACAATCTGTAGAACTTAATAGTCAGTACCCAGACCCTTATTTCTTGGCCTGCCTTCTGTTCTGGCCAGAGAATCAAGAGCTAGATCAAGATTCCAAGCTAATAGAAAAGTATGTTTCCTCCTTAAAGAGATCCTTCAAGAGACAGTACAAGCACATGTGCAGGTCCAAGCAAGCAAGCACACTTTTCTATCTGGGGAAAAAAAGGGGTCTCGACAGTCTTGTTCACAAGGCTGAGATTGAGCAGTACTTCAGTGAGGTATCAAATACTAATTCCTTCTGGCAGAGTGGAGAGGTGTGGAAAGACAAAAATGTCAAAGACCTTCTGCGTCGTCTGAATGGTCAGGCTGAAGGCAAGCTGATCTCTGTAGAATATGGAATAAGGGAAAAAATTAAAATACCTGTGATATCTGTTTATTCAGGTCCACTCAGAAGTGGTAGGAACATACAAAGAGTGTCTTTCTACCTAGGGTTTTCCATTGAGGGACCTCTAGCATATGATATCAAAGTAATTGAAGAAGATACATAGCTCAAATATGTTTATTCCTATCTATGATTTTATTCCCTCTATTCCCATGGCATTTTAATGACATTATTAAGTTTAGCTCCAATCACAAATTTTGTTTTTGCTCCCCCAAAATGAATTATGAGACACTTTAGGGGTATTATAATGCTATGAAATGTGCCTATGCTTTCATGCTATGAAATCTGCCTATGTACAGAGCTTAGGACATGGGAGAGTCAACTGTTCAATGTTCTCAATATGCATTTTTCAGATTAACATATTTAATTAAGAAGTTTCAATTGATATCATGTAATTATAATTGATTATAGTCAATAAATCTGTTTTAGTTCTATACTGTTATGAATTTTCAGAATTATGAGTTATTTCTTTACCAAGAAAGAGATTTACATTAGATGAATATGGAAGAGAAAGCCTCCTTTTGCTTTCTTTAACTCAAACCCAAAGATCTACAACAGAGCCACTTACTTCATCTTGGTATTGATGAAATTCTATGTGCAAGGTAAATATATTGTTCCAATTCTTCTTCTACGCTACACACACACACACACACACACAAACACACTCAATTCTTTATACCCTTTGCTTTTCTATAAGCTCTTTGTTTAAGGAGGGGGAACAGAAGAGAAAATAAAGTAGTCAAAAGCTTGAACTCCATCCTTTTGCTCCCATTTACAAATGAATATTTTCCTTTCATTATTCTTGCCTCCCCTGGGTAAGTCTAATCTCCACCTGTTCTTAAAATCCCATTTCCCCAGACTCTCTTTACTTGTCAACCTATAGCAGATGCATGCTATTCTCTCTGTCAAACATTCCTTTATTTTCATCCAACATTTTCTCTTTTTTTCAAAGATTTATTTATTTATGCATACAAGACTAGGATACAGACTAGAGGTGCAGGGGGTGAGAGGATTCACCAGAGATAGAGTGGGAAACAGAACAGGCAGGTTGACTGAAGTACACTGCTGTGGGGAGCAGCAGGCAAATCAGGAGATGCTGCACCATGTGGGTTGCTCCCTGGCTGGCTGGAATCTAACTCATGCTGCAGTGGCTGTGGATAGCTTCATAGGCTGCTTCTTAACCCCTTGTGCCACCAGGGAGGCCCTTCGTCCAACATTTTCCACAAGGCATTCTTATTTGTGTATTACAACTCAGTTCAAGTCAGCTTCACCAGGAAGTCTTCCCTGACAGCTATAACCCCTGTCTGGTTAAATATCTTCTTCATGGCAATATGTGATCTCAACTTTCCACAGCCAGAAGTGACATCCCAGAAGCTTGCTCCTACACTTACACCAAGAAAAATAGCCTCAATCTGCATTCGAAAGCTTGGATTTTAAGAGTCACCCGTTGCCTATACAGTGAAACACTTGCTAATGTAGATTAAATCGAATACTTAACAAATATTTGTTTATTTACCTACTTTTCATCTCTGTAATGTAACCTAGATATTCCAGGCTTCCATACAATTCTTCTTGTCATCAAATGTCTATTTCCTGTCTAGGTTATTTTTGTCAGTATTTCTATGACTCAGCAAAGAAAATAAAACAAGAAGGAAAGCTGAAAGTTCTCTGTTGAAAGTTGAATATCCCTGGGGTAAATAAAGCATAATTATCTGCTCTGAGTCTAAGCAATCTTTTTCTTGACATTGTGAAGAATAGAGACTTTATTGTCTGGACATGCCTACTCCCTGTAGGAAAGCTAGGCCAAGGTGAACAGTTGGCAGTATTGTATCTAATGCTGATAGGACACAAAGCCAGTTCTTGAATGGAGTCAGCTCTTCAAGGAGCCTCATTTATCAAAAAAAACTGAAGATGCATATTGGGTATAAAGATCCATAAGCAGATTCAACTTGTTCTTAGAAAAGTGGAAAGTAGTGTTCAAATGAGTCCTGGGGGCCTCCCTGGTGGCGTAAAGGCATAAGTCTCAGCACTACCACACTATGGCTGCTGTGACCTGGATTCTATCCCTAGCAAGGGAGCTAACCCACATATGGCACAGCAAACCTCTCTTATCTCTCCTACTGCTCCCCTTAGCAGTATATTTCAGTGGATCTGCCTGTCCTGCTCCCCACTCTGTCTCTGGTGAATCTTCTCACCCCCTGCACCTCTGGTCTCTACCCCAGTTCTTAAATAAATAAATAAATATTTTTTAAAAACAAGTCCTGGCATACAATGTGAGGTCCATGCAGAAAGAAAATTAGTTATACCTAGAGACTTAATAGGAAACATCCATGTGATTTGCTATTATTTAAAAGTATCAACTCTATGCAAAGGAGCAATATCTATTTGGTAGGACACACTAGCCCTATGTGTTCCTCATAATGTCACTTTGCCTTGTTCTTTCAACCAATTATATTAAATTTCTAACTTGCCATTCATTATTTGTAAAGCAAATTCATTTTGCTTGCTTATTTTGGGAGTTTTGAAATAATGTTCATTACAAACATTACAAACATATCTGTAATGTATTTGGTGCCACACCTGACCACTACTGAAATGATGAGAACATACTAAACATACTAAGTCACATGTGATTCAGAAGTAGTAGGGTACATTTGTGATGCCTGGCAGCCTCAGTCTTTTGATAGTGATTGCTGAGTATCATTATTTCTTTATTCATAAACCTGCCGCATGAGATGACATCAGTTTCTAATCTCATTTTGTCTTATCTTGCAGCCTGACACAAAATATCACCATTCCTTAAAGAGTGTTGTTCTTGGTACAAATTTGGACAAAGGCTACATAGTTTTCAAGTTAAACAAACATCTTGAACTGCAATTCCATGTCAAGGTATTTACCTAAGAGAAATGAAGACATGGCCACAAAAAGACTTCTACAAAAATAATCATTGCAACTTTACTGCATAACTGCCAAAGATTGAAATAATTCAGATGCTTATTTAAAAGAAAGTGAACAAAAAAGTTGTGGTATATTGACAAAACAATACAATAGCAAAATAAGGAAACTAACTACTGACCCTGCAACTCTAGAACCAATCTCTATGACATTGTCCTGAATAAAAGAAGCCAGTCACAGAAGAGCACATATATATGATTTCGTGTATATGAACACTTGGACCAGGGAACACTATTCTACAGTGAAAACAGATCAAAAGAGTAGTTTCCACTGGAGGGAGTTAAGAGTGACTAGGGAGGGACATGAGGTGAAAGAAATGTTCTTTATCTAGATTGGTATTTGGGTTATTCCAGTCTGTCAAACTGCTTTCAAAATTTTACATGTAATATATACACACTCCAATCTTACCTCAAGGGAGGTAAAACAAGCAGAATGAAAAGAAAGAAAACAAATAACAGAATGTTAATAGCTTTGAAGCTGAGTGATGGGTACAGGGGGTTCATTATGCTATTCTGATTCTTTGCTTATATGTGAAATCTTACCCCCCCCCCAAAAAAGTTCAGAAATTATGCTGTAAAAGTCCATTTAATAATGTGAGAAAATAGAGGCTATATTTTGCTAAGTAGAGAAACAAAATATTATATAGAATATACTTCTGTTCTTGGCAATCCGTATCCTACCCAGCAAAGACTGGGCAATTATATACCAAAAATGTTAGTAATTGTGAGAGGAGGCTACCAGGTGTATTTTCTCTTTTTCCTGGTTGTTGCAGCTTTTTAAATTGAACACGCATTAGAAATTTAAAAGATATACCATAAATGTTACTTAAAATAGCAAACAAAAAAAGAATTGGTCCTAATTATTTTGAATCAATAAGGAAAAGGAAAAAGTACCCAGGACACTTGGGAAAACCTGCCTTATAGGCTAAGGAGCCTTGTGGTTTCTAACAAGGCTATACAGTACTACCAACAGTAGGACAAAGAGGAAAAAGATAAAATGCAAAATGTTTCATGATTTCATTCCTAAGAGAAATTTTACAAAAAAAATAAGAAAAAGTGAGATATTCTACAAAGTCTTTCTAGGTATTGCCAAACCAATTGGTGCTTGCTACTTTATAATAATTTTATTAAAGAATAGAGAAAACATCTCCCTCTCCGCTCCTCAAGTGATTTAAAAGAGATACATTGCAGGGTCTCCGTGGTGGTGCAGGGGTTAAAGTCTAAGCTCTATCAAGCCAGGGAGCTAACCCACATGGCACAGCAGACCTGTCCTGTCTCACCCGCTGCTCCCCTCAGCAGTGTATTTCAGTAGATCTGCCTGTTTTACTCCCTACTCTGTCTCTGGTGAATCCTCTCACTTTCCCCCCACTCCCACTCCGCACCGCTGGCTTACACCCCAGTTCTTGTATGCATAAATAAATAAAGTAAAACTTTTTTTAAAAAAATCGTTTAAAAAAGACGAAAATGAAACATGATCAGATGGTGTACAGGGAACACAGCTTTGTACAATCTTCTTTTAAGAAAAGTGACTTCATTGCTTCAACTATTGAAATAATCTTTAAAAGATAACAAAACCTCATTCCAATAAAGCACTTAAATGAAGACCTAGAAAGTAGAAGGAAAGTCAACCTGATCTTTAACAGAGAAGTCACTCAAACACACAGCACATCCTGTAAAGAAACAAGACACATGCCAAAATTATTCAAAGCAGGAAACGGCTGTGGTGGAGGACCAGGCTGAGATCCCAAAAGGCAGTAAGCAGAGCAGCTGTATACAACATCAGAATTCAGAGGTAGAATTCACCCCCTCAGATGGCAAAACACAATGGGTTCCATATTCTAGAGGACTTTTTCAGGGCACAATTGGCCCGAGAAGTCCATATGCTGGGCCTCCCTGGTGGTGCAAGGGGTTAAAGTCTCAGTGCTATCAAACTATAGACAGCCACTGTGGCATAAGTTAAACCCTGGCCAGAGAGCCAACCCACATGGTACAGCGGAACTCTCCTGTCTCGCCCGCTCCCCTCAGCAGTGTATATCAGTCAATCTGCCTGTTCTGCTCCCAACTCTGTCTCTGGTGAATCCTTTCACTCTCCACATCTCTGCCTACACCCCAGTTCTTGTATACATAAATAAATAAAAATAAATCTTAAAAAAAGAAGTTCTTATGCAATAACAAGAAAGAGTGATAAGTGAAGTCATAAGAAATCCGAAAGAATTTATGCTTGTCTAGTTCATGCATTCTCAACTGGGGTGCTATCGTGACCAACGTGGTAAAAACTGGTTTCAGGAAACAAAAAAAAAAAATGCACTTAAAAAAATAAGATTGGAAAGAAATAGACTTGATTTATTTTTTAGAGTATTTTAAGGTTCACAGCAAAATTTAGAGGAAGGAGTTAGATTCCCCATATACTCTCT